TGCCCTGAGCTCAGGCATCGTGTAGAGGGAACCAGCTTTGAAGGTCAGGCATAGGTATGTGTGTCCCCTCACCTTGGAATATATTTGATCTCAGGTTAAAATCCAGCCGCTTGTAATCATCAAAAGACAGAGAGGTCAGGGAGTTCTTTAGCTTTTCAGTACGGTCGCCGAGTCTTTTCTGTCCCATGACCAATGCTGCCCTGCACAGAGCTCGCCGTTCCTGAAAACACAAACAAGGTACCACTGTCAGTCCACGTTCCCTGAGTGCAGCAAACTCCTGGCATTTCCACCCTTGCATAGGTCTTTGAGCTGTGACTAATCCCCGGTCCCTGGGTCTGTCCTTGAGTCTCCCTCAGCAGTTTCTGTAGGCATTGTAATTGCACGGGACAACTAGGAATGGTAGAAAGGGGAGGAATTAGAAAGGATGGTGTTGGGCCCTGGAATGGGTCCTGGCACCACACTGTTTTGCCTTGCTGAGCTGGGACACTGTCTGCCTACAGGAACCTTATAAATGAAAGGGGGACAGAAAAGCAAAATTAAAAAAGACATGGGAAAGGCTGATCTGTGGAATGTGTCACTGCTGGTGTGAAACCCAAATCCATCCCCCTACATGTCTTCTAGAAACTGCTCCACTCATTCAGCCCCCTGCCACACCGTAAAAACAGCCTTTAACTTGCCACAAAGGATAAATGAAACGGCTTCCTCCAATACCTCTTCATTGCTGGTCAGTGAACCTGCACTGCCAAGTTCAGATTTGCTGTTGGCACTGATGAAGCTGTTTCTCTTCTCCAGCAGGACCTTCCAGTCTGCTTTCATACCCGACCCTAACGATGCTAAGGATGTGCTGCAGGTCTCCTTGGTTTTGCCACAGCTGGCTTTGACAGCCTTCCGGGAAGATCTAGGCCCTCTAGATCTCTCTGTCTGGTGCTGGCCTGCTACTGGTTCTTTGGTATTTGAGATGGATTTGGTGTCTTCTGCCCCCCTCTGCTCGGATATTGCAGACAGGCGCTAAGTGCTGCTCCTCCCTCCTGGCTCACGCCTCACTACCGCATCCTTGGGGGCAGACGTATCTTCTCCTTCCCCTCCAAGTCTTCCCGCATGCAGACTCTGCACGGAGGAAGTTTTGGTCTGGAGACTCTGTTTGCTCTGTTTTTCAGTCTGAACACACTTTGCAGAAGGACATGCCTGGGATTTAATAGGTACGGAATTCTTTGCTGTTTCCTGAGCCACAGGGCCCTTGGGGATCTTCCAGGAGGCTTTGTTGGAGCTCCTTTGGGATGTTTTCTCTCCACTGGGGCATAAGCTTTCTGGAAGATGGTCCTTTTTTCCTTCTTCAGGTTTCACTTAAAAACAAAAATAGCTCAGTGAATTTGATCCTGTTTTGATGACAGGTGATATCCTGAATGGAGCTGGAAACAACTGGACATGTCATTGTGTCATTGTGAAACAAAAGAAACATTAAAGGTCTCAAAGAAGGAAAGAAAAAGAGAAAAAAACCCCAACCACCTAGCAGTATTATAGCAATCTTCCTGCTAGTGAAAATTCCTGAGGAGGCTTAAATGCTCGAGAGATGAACATGGGCAGAAGCATGGAAGTAAAAATCATGCGGCCAAAGACACACACAAAGGTCTGTGTTTTCTCGTGTGTAGGGACCCCTCCAACCCACGATTGCTCTCGCTCTTGTGAACATGCACTGAAGAGTCCCTGTGGCTCATCAGTATTTGCTGATGAGGTTACAGCACGTCAGTGGCTTATTGCACACAAGTCCAGCAGTGGAGGGAGACACGCTCGGGGCAGGGGGATTTTAACCTGTCAGCCCATAGCACATGGGATGCCTGTCCCGGTGGTTTTCACCCGCAGAGGTACATGCAGACCTGGAGAGCACGAAGGGAGGGAGGGAATGGCACGCAGCCTCGCAAGGCGTACTGCCAAGCAGGCTCGGAAGGAGGGACAGCCGCTCTGCCATCCTGCTTACCTGTGGTACGGTCGGCCAGCACGGAGCCACTTTCTGCCGCATCAGGTGTCGGGGAAGTTGGAACCTCTGGCACACCCTTGCAAGAGAAACAAAGGCAGTGTCAGGCCCAGAGACGGGAAGGAGGGGGACAGCAGTCCTGCTCATCTTTAGATGACGTAGGCTATTCTCACACAAGTGTATTTCTATGCCTTCCTAGACCAACAGCGCTGCCCCTGCCTGCCTGCATGGTTGGTCCTACAACCCACGATCCTCCCAAATTAAAATGGCACAAAAGTCTTGCAGGATTGCACATTAACAGCTCACATGAGACAGCCTGCCGAGGACATGGCCAACCAGTGCCTCTGGGGAATACTGAGATGACAGATTTTTTACGGGCAGAGGTGCAGGCACAGGACAAAATGGAAAAAAAACCCTATGAAAATGTCATTTTTTATTCTGTCATGCGCTGTACAACACTTCCTTCTTTTGGAGCGTTAAAGGCAGGCCAGAAAAAACAGGGAGAACAGGTGATAAACATAAAATGCCTGTGCAATGCTGGCTATGCAAAGGAAGAGACAGGCTGGGCACCGGGGTTTTCCCTGATTTTGGCACAGACTACCCCATTCCGCTTTGCCCGTCCTGCTGATGTGACTGATCCAACCCCCGGCCTTGGCCAACTGCCTCCTGCACTAGGAGGAAGCCCATGTCTTTCCTGCAGAGGGGACGTCTGTGTAACTCAGCCATCTCCTGCTGACGGTCTGCGTCCCTCGCCCCAGCGCGACCCCACAGACTTAGCCCATGCGAAACCTGTGCCAGGTTGCAGCTGAAGCCACGGCCCACGGTGGTGAGCACGGTAATCGTGAGCCTGCTGGCACTAGCAGCAGAACAACTGGGATCCGGCTCAGGTGGGGACGGACGTTTGCAATCGCCAGTCGAGCTCACGACGTGACGTGTACGCTTCCCTTCTGCCCTTGAGGCTGCTTATTGGAATGAAGACACCAGCCAAGGGGGCTGGCAGCCCACCACTTCGAAGTTTGAACCAGCAGCTCGTGTTTGACACTGCGCCGGTACGTTGGAGCAGCGTGTCGGGTACAGCACTGGCACCCTGAAGTTACTCTGTCAGTCCGACTCAGGAGTCAGTGCTGTGTGCTCTGCCAGTGTGCTGCGAGGGAACCTCTCCCACAGAACGAACAGGGCCGCAAGAGACAGAGACAGCCAGTCCTGGCTCACAGGGTACGAGCTGCTGCTTGTCTGTACCGCCTGTTGTTCTTTTTAAAGAGCCAAACATGTATGCGTGATCCAAGCGCAGGAATCTGTGTTGCTAAATAAACTCCTGTGTTAACTCCCACCTCCTACCTAAAGCAAAACCACGTCTGTTTGTTATTATCACTATATTCAGTGGAAAGAATTTTCCAGTTTGCTGTTGTGGATCCCACTTCTTCCAACGAAGCAGAATTTCTGTGTAATGAGACAATGCGCTCATTTCCCAAATCCCATTGATTAATAACTAATTTCCTCCGTTTCCCCAAATCCCATTGGTTAATAATTAATTTCCCCAGTTCCTCCTGGACAAAATGAGGCTGATGCCTGCAACTCTTCCTACTTTCTAGTTTGTAACTGTGTATGATGTTACTGCTCCTTGTTCCTTCTACTTCTGAGCCTGAAGGTCCAAAGTCAAAGCACCACCCTCAGACTCCTACATCTTGATGCCAAGAAGGACTTTAAGGGCATTTTACCATCCTCCTGGATAACAGAAGCCACAGAACTGTGTCTACTTACTCCTTTGCTAAGCCAATTCTGTCAGGCACCACAGAAAAGACATATGTTGATCAAAGAGCTAAAACTGATTCAACTTGATTTTTCTTTCTGAATGAGAAAAAAAAAAAAATCACCAAAAAAAGCTCTTTTAGCATAGCCTAACACTGACTTTCCTGACATGTAGCCAGGGAGAAAAAGAGGGAGCTGTCTTTCCCAGGCAGAAATTTAACCTCCTCAAACAGATGTAGGGATTGGTATGCCATTCTCACCAGCCACCAGGCCAGATGTGGTCAAAAATGTTCTCATATGCCTTGCAGATCTGGCCAGGCCTCCTCCCAAGTATGGGATTTCTGTGACTTGCCAGACCTGAGAAGCCCCACGGATATTGGATCTTTTATCTCTTTTTTTAAAGATCCAGGATTTAACAAGAGGCAAAGCCTCTTCCATAACTACCTCTCTCACCTGGTCCATGATCCTTGATGTGGTGCCACAGCGATTCTACGAGCAGGCAGGTCCTGC